TTGGCTTGTCCACAGATAACAATTAAAATGTAATAGCTGCTGCCCTTTTTTGAAGCTTTCCACTTTAGAAATGGCTCCAAGACTCAGTGCAGACATTTGGTGTGGGGGGGTGGATAGGTGTGGGAGCATGTGGGTGTGTGTGTGAATATGTGGCGTGTGTAGGTATGAGGTTTGTGGGAGGCTGTGTGGGGAGGAAGGGTGGCTGGGGTGTATGAGTGCGTGGGGGGCTCTGTGTGTATGCCAGTGTGAGGGGGTGGGTGGGTGCATGTGTGGGGTGGGGTGTGCATGTGGGACTCACCCTATGAACACACACACACTCTGCCCCTCCCTACACCCTCGCCCCCGGTACCGGCATGGGCCCGTGCTTCCCAGTCCCGCAATGAAGCCAGGAGCCATGTGGTGGTGCAGTAGTGTAGGGGCCGGAAGCCAGGGAAATGGCTGGGGATGAGGCATGGCTTGGCTGCTCAGTCCTGTGGGCTCCCCCTGGGTCCTACTGCCTCAGGCTGCTGTCATTTTGACAGGCAGCCACGAGCAAATAAATATCAACTTACTAAATTGGGGGGGGGGCCTCTGGGCTGGATAGAATGACCTGGGGGGCTGGATTTGGCCCGTGGGCCATTTTTTGCCCGCCCCTGATCTAACCCTTCTCAGGGCTGAAAGGAAACTCCAACCCTACAGTGCAGAGTTAATTTGAAGTATTTACATTCAGGGTAACTCCTCTTGAATTACTTAGTTCAGGTGAGAGTTACTATTGCAAAACAACACTGAGACTGTGCAGAGTACCTGTGGGTGTGTCTACACATGCATTTTAATGTGCATTAGCCTATGTTAATGTGCATTAAAGCATCACAAAAACGTGCTTTTTAGCTAATGTGCATTAAAATAGTTTAATGCTTATTTTTCAAGTACCGCACAATGGAGGTACAGTACTAGATTTAATGCCCATTACCTAAGGCACATTAATGAACGTGCAGACATGTCAAGAGGTACTATATTTAATGCACATTAAATTAAGTACGTTAATGTGTAGATATGCCCTTATTAGCAACTGATGAGATGAAGTAACTTGAGGTTTTTAGCATCTGTAAAGAACTGGCCCTATGACAAGCCACACACTTGAATTAAAGGTGCCTCACTCTTTGTGATGTGTGATGTTTGTGGATGGCCAGGACTCAGATTAATTTGGTAATGAAAACAATACCCAAAACTGAAAGAACAGACAGGCACAAAGGAAGAACCCAACAGCTGTGACCTTTTGGGCCATTAGGAGGCAGAGCTTTCAGCTTGGTCTTCAAAGCAGGAAACCTATAAAAAGTTGAGCTGACTCAAAATGGCAAAGAAAAAAATTATTTTTTAAGTCTCCATTTAGCCTAGGAGGCTCTTGACTCAAACGTGGATGAGGAGGTAAAAAATAGAGGATTAATTGCCTTCTTAGTACAGAAGGACTATGCTTGTTGCCAGAGACTTCAGTTTAAAGGATCACTTGTTTCTTTTCCTTACCTCTGACTGAAAAAAATTGGACTATTTTGTGACCTTGCATACCATAAGCCCTGTTACAAGGAGTTGGATGTAGTAACAAGCAAAGCTGGTGGCTGTTGATTATAGAATCCAAATCTAGTGGCCTTTTTGTCTAAGTACAGACAGTCAAAAAGCATTGCAGGTCAGTCTAAGCTGCAACAATTGAACCAATAAGCAAACCTGATTCAGGAAATGGAGCCACATGCCTGAAGTGGCTCAAGACAGAATTCGAGGGGTAGGGGTGGTGCTAGAGCACAGCTCTCTGGCACATAGCCAGTATGGACTGACATTTGCAGTCCACAATCACAACAGCAGGACTCTGCAGGGTTGCTCATCATTTCCTTTTTATGCTTTAAGGTGCCTCTCAGATTGGTAGTCCACAGTTGCAGACAACAATAAGTAAGGCAGCAGGGCAATGCAGATCTGTACTTGAGGGAAAATGAGTTTAACCCTGCTCCCTGACCCCAGCCCCCAGCTTGGGTTTGCCTGGTGGGAGCAGGACGGGGCAGTGAGCTATCCCTCACTGCTCCAGCTAGGGAGCAGAGGGGTGGGTCCAGCATCCTCTCTGGAGCAGACAGCAGAGCACAGCCCAGTGCTGCAAAGCATGCTGGAATGCTGGGGGACTCTGATTTAACTTGAACCAGGAAAGGGGTCTGGGACAGAAGTTTCATAAACCTGTTTGACATAAATCAGTTATGTCTGATACTACATTCAACCAGGTTTAGCTTAAACCAGTTTTAGCCATTTTGAAACTGTTTTATGTGCACTAAACTTCTGTTCTGTTACAGGTTTAAACCAGTTTCTGATCACTTAAACTGATTTATGTTTAAGTTATTTATGTCTCTAATCACTCACACATAACTGATTTATGTGTAACTTCTGTCCCTAGCCTTTATGACTTAGTAATAACAGATCAACTTCAAGCCTTTCCTCCACAAATCTCCAACTGCTTTGTGAATCTCGATGGATGGAGTCTCCCAATACACCTATATGATAGGTGGTTACTATCCTCCTTCTCCAACTGGCAAAGCTGAAGTACCTTTAGGCCTAACCGCTTAGTCTTTCAGAACAGGGAATGCAGTGTGTCTGCTGCCTCTGTGATCCAACTACTGTATCAGCCTTTTTCCTAGAAGACTAAGTAAGAACCTGAGAGAGTGAATAATAAATGTGTCCCATGCTGTGAGAGATGTTATATAAGAAAGCATATAGCTAAAGATTTGAAGAAGAGGTTGAAAACAGCAGTGGCATTGTATAGTGAGATGGGAAGAAGAGTTTTGAATAACATGCGTGTGTAGAAACAGCCAAATGCTTCATAAGCTTGTTCCAGAGTTCAATTTCAATAAAAAGCTACAATCTCAAGAATTTTTTGTAATCCCAGAAGAAAGGCCAGTGGATGAATGGGGCTGGAAAATCATTTAGAAAGAGTCACCTCATGTCATGTGGGGAAGTTAGTGCTTTTGCTGCCTGTGTTATTCTGTGGGTAAAAACACTGAATTTATGCAGAACACTGCAAAAACTTCCAGCAAACCTCTTTTGGAGATCACAGACTTCTTATATTGGATCTGTGGCCCTTGCTATACAATCTTTTCTGTACATGTTTTCTCTAGTACTGTGCAGGTGTTTCATAGTTTCTAGGGTTGGAATGGACCCGAGTAGATCATCGAGTCCGACCCCCTGCCATGGCAGGAAAGAGTACTGGGGTCAAACGACCCCAGCAAAGTGTACATCTAGCCTCCTCTTAAAGACCCTTGGAAGTTGGTTCCAGATCCTAGCCGCCCTGACAGTGAAGTAGCGCCTCCTGATGTCTACCTTAAATCTACCCTCTGCCAGCTTGTGACCGTTATTCCTGGTCACTCCTGGTACTGCTAGGGGGAACAGGGACTCCCCCAATGCCTGCTGGTCCCCTCTGACTAGTAGGCCACTAGATCCCCCACTAGGTGTTGTGCAAGGTGAGGAGAATCAGCCTGCTCAAAAAACCCAAACTCCAAAGACACTTTACTAAACAAACTTGAGGAAACCTCAGTGGTCATCAGCATAGACCTGTTGTCATTGGTAATGTTTGGGGGAGAAAGGGAAATATGACAAAGCTAATCTGATAATATGATCTTCCAAAGACTCAGCTGCTAGAGATGCCAATAAGCAGGAGAGGTGGAAACCTGCTGAGGAAAATTCTTGTCAGTGTGAAAGCAAATAACCTGTGGGCTTGGGAGCCTGCTACTTAATGCTAGCATATGCAATCATTTTAGAAACTCTGTTTGCTCCTTATTTACTATTATAGACTAACATCTTTATTTGTTTTGTCTCAGTGATTTGTGTACACTTGCTGTAAGGTAAGTTATGTTGGTGGAGTCTCTTATGTGGAAACTGGAGCCTAGCACTGTGGGACAGTATATGCAGAGCTATATCTATTTAATCTTGTAACTGACAGGAAGACTAGGGCATAACAACAATGTCTGTCAAACTGTATATGCCTCGAAAATGGTGATAAGATGAGCTGTGCCTGTCACATAATGTCACTAACAAGCCTTCATTTTGATTTGGAATGCCTGGAAATAGGACAAGTCTACAAAGCAGATGGAAACTTATCACTTGTGCTAATTTAATTTCAAAATAGTGATGAAGTAACACTTAACATGACCAGATGGGGAATTAGCATTGATGTGAAGAAAGTTGGCTGAAAGAAGCAAGATCTGAGGCAGGACTTGGCAGCAAGTGAAGTTGCTATAAAACCATAGATAAATAGGGCAAAAGGGACCTCCAGAAGTCATCAAGCCCAGCTCTCTCCTCCAGGCTGGAACTTCCCTGCCTGCATCTCAGAAGGTGACTTCTTTGTGTAAAGAGGAACAACAGCATCAGAGCTTAAAGAACAAAGGTTATATGAGAAGGAACAGGAGATGAGCAGATGTGTAAGTAGTGCCATTACAGTGAAAAAGCCTGAATGCAAAGAGAGTGTGAAGAAGGATCATCTGGGAGGGAATTCAGGAAAAGGATATGTTGTAGATGAGCAAGGCTTGGAAGGCCTACCAGGAATTATCAATATCCAGGAAAGATTTCACTGGGGCAAAGGACATTTCCTGGGGAAAGAAATAAATGAGTAGTTATTGACAAGTTTATTATTGCCAGTCTAGTGTAAATATTAGTATCTTTGGCCTTGTGGCCCATCCTTTTTCTTTCTACCAAGGATTACTTTCCAATCTTCAGCATGCTGGCCCTGCAATGAGTCTTGTTATTGAAGGCTTCTCTCATTTTCCTTTTTCTGGTGGATAGAGAGTAAAATTGTCTTCTGAACGCAGGCTGCCCAGGATCACTCTTAGCTTGTCTCACTGGTCACACGAGAATGTTGCAAGCATAGTTTGTTTTCCTAGAGCAGCGTTGCTGGGGATCTGGAAAAGACAGGCTAATTATGCTTTAGCTAACCCCTGTTTCTCAACATGTGCTGGTGGGAGGTAACTAATCTTCTGAACAAGTTGCCAACTGCTACCCAGAAAAAAGTGGTGCAAGAGAAGTCTCTGATCTGCGTGGAAATTTTATTTTTCTTCTTCTGGACCAGGGACAGATATTACACACAAACTGGTTTAAGTTATGAGAAACTGGTTTAAACCTATAACAAAACAGATGTTCAGTGCACATAAACCAGTTTGAAAATGGCTAAAACTGATTTGAGATAAACCTAGTTGAATGTAGTATCAGACTTAACTGCTGCTGTACACTACTGCATGTTGGCAACCGATCTTGGAGCTTCCCTAACACCGGCCTTGGAGTTCATGCAAACTGATCATTTCCCTGAACCATCCAGTGTTTGCTTTTAGCAATTTTTGATAACAGCTGTATAGGTTAAATTGACCTGTCTGTCTTTCACCTGCTTATAACAGGTTAAAGCCTGTCCATGTGGCACCTATTTCAGTCACCTTGGATATAAGGTGAGGACAGGTCAAAACTGCCTCCTCTCTGAGGGATCTGGCTGTGACCCAAGGGTTTGGGAAACTTGTGTTCATGTTCCAGGTCAATCACAACTGTCTGTGCTATTTCATGTAAGTCACTGGCCCCAGCTCCCAAAGGAGGCTTAGATAAAATTTATGCCAAAACTGTGTTCCTCAAGATCTTCCTCAGCCTGGCTATAGTATGCGATGCATGAAGTACAGTGGGGACTGTTGCTTCCTTTTAACTCAGTGATGGCACCACTGCTGCTCCAACATTTTAATGCAAAAGTAGGGTGTGTTGGTGTTTTATCTCATGACTCTTTTCTATGAGGCAAAGCATCTTTGTAGCAGGGGCCAGGACTGCTGTCAACACCAGGATATATGGGCCTGCTCACTTACTCTGTGTTTCTAGCCCAGGTATAGGGGCAAAGCTTTAAAGCAAAGGATGAGCATGAGCCTTCACCCCATAATAGCCTGCACTCAATGCTTAGGCCAGCTCCCAGGAGGTGGGAAATGTGGGTTTCAACTGTCTCAGGTTGAGGGTGGATGTTAACCTAGAAATTCCCCATCCTAGGCAAATGCTCTAACCACCAAGCTCTTGTAGAGAAGAAAGACACCAGCATGAACCCTGCCTTCTCCTCTGCCACCAGCAGCAGTCCCTCGGTTTGAGGGCGACCTCTACCATAGCTCACGGGCGGCTCTTGAGGCAAGTCCAATCCTCAACCCATCCGCACATGCTGCAGGTCTTTCCGCAGTGGGGAGCCAGCTGCTGTCCCTCTCCCTTTTCCTTCCTCCGCTCTCTTCTGCGCTCTGAGGGCGAGATGCCTGCCCTTGATGCGGGCAGCTGCTCGGTTGAGGCAGAGGCATCGTCTTTGCTGCAGTCGGTTGCCAGCCGTACCTAGACTCCCCGGTGGCGAACTTTTAGCATTGGGGACCCCCCATTCACCAGAGATAACGATTGTTATTGTCACCATTTCCAGGCCCTGTTGGTTCACCTATGCCTGTATCCAGCCCTTGACGTCAGCACCCATTTTCCCAGGGTGGCCGCTGCGTGACATCACGGCGTGACTGAGCTATGAGTTTTGGGGGGTCGAGCGTATCCTGGCGTTGCACAGC